CCGTTTGATCTCTAACATACCCTGTTAGAGCTCCCACGGAGCTCTAACATACCATGTTCGAGTTCCCAGGGAGCTCTAACATACTGGAACATGCTATGTTAGAGCTCCGTTGGAGCTCTAACAAGCCATGTTAGAGCTCCGTTGGGGCTCTAACATACCATGTTAGAACTCCCAGGGAGCTCCCACTGAGCTCTAGCATGCTATGTTAAAGCTCCGTTAGAGCTCGGTATTCTAGAGCTCCCAGGGAGCTCTAACATGGGAGCTCTAATACAGCATGTTAGAGCTCCCTGGGAGCTCTAACATATTCGAGCATGCGATGTTAGAGCTCCGTTGGAGCTCTAACAAGCCATGCTAGAGCTCCCACGGAGCTCTAACATACCATATTAGAGCTCCCATGGGAGCTCTAACATACTCGAACATGCTATGTTAGAGCTCCGTTGGGGCCCTAACAAGCCATGTTAGAGCTCCCACGGAGCTCTAACATACCATGTTAGAGGTCCCAGGGAGCTCCCACGGAGCTCTAACATGATATGCTAAAGCTCCGTTGGAGCTCGGTATGTTAGAGCTTCCAGGGAGCTCTAACATGGGAGCTCCCATATAGCATGTTAGAGCTCCCACGGAGCTCTAACATACTCCAACATGCTATGTTAGAGCTCCGTTGGAGCTCTAACAAGCCATGTTAGAGCTCCCACGGAGCTCTAACATACCACGTTAGAGCTCCCAGAGAGCTCTAACATACTGGAACATGCTATGTTAGAGCTCCGTTGGAGCTCTAACATACTCGAACATGCTATGTTTGAGCTCCGTTGGAGCTCTAACAAGCCATGTTAGAGCTCCCACGGAGCTTTCACATACCATGTTAACGCTCCAAGGGAGCTCCCACTGAGCTCTAAGATGCTACGTTAAAGCTCCGTTGGAGCTCGGTATTTTAGAGCTCCCAGGGAGCTCTAACATAGGAGCTCTAATAAATCATGTTAGAGCCCCCATGGCAGCTCTAACATACTCGAACATGCTATGTTAGAGCTCCGTTGGAGCTCTAACAAGCCATGTTAGAGCTCCGCCGGAGCACTAATATACCATGTTAGAGCTCCCAAGAAGCTCTAACATACTCGAACATGCTATGTTAGAGCTCCGTTGGAGCTCTAACAAGCCATGTGAGAGCTCCCACGGAGCTCTAACATACCATGTTAGAGCTCCCAGGGAGCTCCCACTGAGCTCTAGCATGCTATGTTAAAGCTCCGTTGGAGCTCGGTATTTTAGAGCTCACAGGGAGCTCTAACATGGGAGCTCTAATATAGCATGTTAGAGCTCCCTGGGAGCTCTAACATAATCGAACATGCTATGTTAGAGTTCCGTTGGAGCTCGACCAAGCCATGTTAGAGCTCCCGCGGAGCTCTAACATACCATGTTAGAACTCCCAGGGAGCTCTAACGTACTCGAACATGCTAATGATAAGAGCTCCGTTGGAGCTCTAACAAGGCAGTGTCCAGAGCTCCCACGGAGCTCTAACATGCCATGTTAAGAGCTCCCAGGAACCCCCCCCACCCGCTCTAACGTACTGAACTGCATTGTTTCGAGCTCCGTTGGGGCTCTAACAATGCATGCCATGGTACTAGCTCCCACAGGGCTCAAACATTATCGTATTTTAGAGCTCCCAACAAGCTCTAACATGGGAGCCATGCTATGTTAGAGCTCCGTTGGAGCTCTAACAAGCCATAGTTCAGAGCTCCACTGAGCCTAACATACCATGTTCGAGCTCCCAGGGGGCTCTAACATACCATGTTCGAGCTCCCACGGGGCTCAAACATGCCATGTTTTAGAGCTCCCAGGGAGCTCCCACTGAGCTCTAGCATGCTATGTTAAAGCTCCGTTGGAGCTCGGTATTTTAGAGCTCACAGGGAGCTCTAACATGGGAGCTCTAATATAGCATGTTAGAGCTCCCTGGGAGCTCTAACATAATCGAACATGCTATGTTAGAGTTCCGTTGGAGCTCGACCAAGCCATGTTAGAGCTCCCGCGGAGCTCTAACATACCATGTTAGAACTCCCAGGGAGCTCTAACATACTCGAACATACTATGTTAGAGTTCCCTTGGAGCTCTAACGTACCATGTTAGAGCTCCCACGGAGCTCTAACATACCATGTTAGAGCTCCCAGGGAGCTCTAACATACTCGAACATGCTATGTTAGAGCTCCGTGGGAGCTCTAACAAGCCATGTTAGAGCTCCTACGGAGCTCTAACATACTGGAACATGCTGATGGTGTGGATGGTGATGATGATGGTGATGATGATGATGATGATAGGGGATTGTGATGATGGTATGGTGAGGGCGGTTGTGATGGTGATGCTGGTGATGGTGATGGTGGTGATTCTGGATGTGATGAGCACCGCCATCATCACCATCACCATCGCCACCACCATCAGCACTACAATTTGATAACCACCATCATTACAATCGTCGCCGGCCCAGGGTGGACGATGATGAAAATCATGACGACGATGATGACGATGATGATGAAAATGATGCAAAAACAGGTTGAGTCGGTTGAGTCCGAAAACTTCGCCTTAAATCAAGCCAGACGAGCCGGCGGTGTCACGTGTCGCGCCAGCGCCGATCCAGCTGCCGACCATCTGAGGAGATTCTTTCAATCAGTTTTAATTGGGGGCGGCTCTTTGGTTCTCTCGCGGAGGCCGCGACGGGCGAGCCCGCGCGCTTCGACCCGCGCGGGTTGCTGCAGACGCGTATCGACAGGTTCTTCTTTAGCTTGCCACCGCACTCGGTTCCCGCTATCAGCGTGCTAGTGACGGTCTTGGCGGACCCCGCCGCGCTCAGCGATCGCCAGTTGGGTGGCCCCGCGCTCTTGGGCCTCGCGCGTGCGTTGGCTGCCCCGAAGAAGCTGGGCGCGCAGCCCATGCCGGATTTCCGCCTCCCCGCGCCGCTGTATTCGCGGTTCTTCGGGCACCTGATGGGGCGCTCTCGTCTTCATCTGGCGGCCCCTGAGCAAGTCTGGCGAGCTGCGGGGCTCGGCGTGGTGGAAGCTGCGCGCCTCGCCCATCGCCGTCACCAACACCCTCCAGGAGGCCGTCGCTATCAATGCAGCGACGAGGTCAAGATCATCGCGATGCGGTCCATCTCGGGCGGCGTAGAGACAGGACCTCGATCTCGCCTGCGCGTGAATCGCATATGCCTCCCTTGGTGCCCGCTTTCTTCGGGCCCCTGCTGGTTTGGTGCAACTTTCGTCAGAGGAGGAGGAGGAGGAGGAGGACGGAGGAGGAGGAGGAGGAGGAGGAGGAAGAGGAGGGGAAGGAGGAGGAGGAGAGGAGGAGGAGGAGAGGAGGAGGAGGAGGAGGGAGGAGGAGGAGGAGGAGGAGGAGGGGGGGAGAGGGAGGAGGAGGAAAAGGAAGAGGAGGAGGAGGAGGAGGAGGAGGAGGAGGAGGAGGAGGAGAAGATGTCCATTCTGGCGCGCCATCTCCGCCTCGCTCGTCAGCGAGAGGTGCTCTTGCGCGGGCGCGGCGCGCTCGGGCGGCAGATCGAGGGCCGGGGGCTGAGCGCGCACGCAGGCAGGCTCGCATACGGTAGGTTCGCGTCGTGTCGACCAGCGGCGACCACCAGCGGCGACTCCTCCTCCTCCTCCTCCTCCTCCTCCTCCTCCTCCTCCTCCTCCTCCTCCTCCTCCTCCTCCTCCTCCTCCTCCCCCTCTTCCAAACCACCCCGAGCCTCGAGGAGGGGCCCCCTTCCTCGGGCAGCAGCCAAACCCGGCCAGGGAAAGCCCTGCCCAGACCGAACTCGGTCAGACTGACCTCGGCCAGGCTGATTACGGTAGGTTTGTGTCGTGTCGACCGGCGGCGACCCCAGCGCGGGCGTTCAAGGTTGAACGCCGACGGCGGCCCAGAATCGGTCGATGCTGAACGATCGGACGTTGCGGAGACGGCCGATCGTTCAAGGTTGAACGATCCCTGCGGTGTCAAAAACCAACGCTGGGGTCGGCGCGACACGAACCTGCCGTATGGGCACCATTCGCGAGAGTCCTGACATTGGCGGGCATTTGCATCGTCGACTCGGGCGCGGCGGTCGAATCCCCCCGCGCGAGGCTGGAAGAGATGCAGTAGCACTGGCTGCCGACCTTCGCCCCGAAGACCGCTGGCATGGAGGGCGCGCGGCGATTTGCGCGGCGCCGTGCCCCCCCTTCTCCTTCGAGCCTCGGGCGATGGTGTTTCCCGCGGTTGCGGCCTTCAAGCGCGTGGTCCGCCGTCTGCGGGCATCGGCTTCAGGACCTGGCCGTCTCCCGTGCTCTGCCTGATCATCTGCGCCAGGGGCCCCTGGCACCGTGGAGGACGTCGCGTGGCAATGTGTGGAGACTGGCATTGCGCCCGCCACTTTCAATGATTCCCTGTTCTCCCTCATCCCGAAGGGCGCCGATGAGACGGGCGCTGCCGCGAATGCGAGGCTCGCCGGTGCTTCGCGGCCAATCTCTCGAAACAGAAACACGCAGACAGCGATATTTTTGCCGCCGCTCTGAACGGGCAGTTGAAGACCGCCGTGGAGTTGCAGGCCCACGTCATGTAACGAGGCTTTATTAGAGGCTGGAACTTCAGAACATCGTCGTCATGGACGCGTTGCGTCGGCTTGCGGGTTTTGGCGTTCCTGCGTCGGCTGACCTCCGCGTCCAGACCCCGTTCGGCCTAGCGGCAGCTTTTCCGTCGCTTGGCTTCCAGTGGCTGTTCGCTTCTCCAGAGGACTACCGATGCCCCGGCGGCTTCGTCCACGGGGCCCAGCCCTTGTACTGCGCGGGCCAAGCAACGGTGATCCTCGGCGGCGACTTCCGCATTGTCTGTTGCGCGCGCTCGGGCGTCGTTTAGGGCTACCTACTGTCGGGAAGGATATGGGCTATTGCAATTGGCGTCATCATACGAGCGATCGCCTGCATCATTCGCCATCGGCCCCTTGGCACCGCTGCCGCGTGCGCTGCTGATCTGGGGCTTCACCTGGCGCGCCTGAGGTTGCTAGCGCCGCTGTGCCACGTCTTCCATCTCGCCGACATCTACGGCCACCCGCTGTGGAATGCGGGCAAATGTGCCATCACCCCCCTGCGTGCGCCGCTTTCCGACCAGATCCGCGACGCTGTCCAGACCTACCTCGCCATGTTTATTCCGGCCAGGGCTGGCTTCGCGATCCTGGGCGAAGGCTTGCATCTTGGTGCCCGCGTTTGCCCTGGCGCCACGAGCGAGCAGCAATGGCTTGAGGCTGCGACGCAATAGTGGGGCCGTGTCGTCGTTCCATCGCTAACTGGAGCCTCCGCGGATGTCCTGGCCAGGCTTTCTCAAACTTCGCGCATCTCGGTCCTCAGCCATGTGTGGCAATTCTTCTGGGTGCCTGTGGCCGTCGCGAGGCGCGAAATCTGCGGGCTGCATCATGTGCTTCGTATGCGTCCTAATTCGTTTCGCCTGCTGGATCTGTTTGCCTGGCGGCCATGGCCGCCGAGTGCGACGCTGCGCTCTTTGAAGATCTTCAATGTATGTGGCGACGGGGGGGATGGCCGGTGTCGCGATCCCAGGGTGGCGGCGCTACAATGACGCATATGAGGCCGCAGTTGCGGCCGCGATTTCGTTGCCGAACTTCGTCGGTGGCCGATGGTCCCCACCCTTCTGGATGGAGAGCGCTGCCATTGTTCGACGCTTCCACGACCTGGACAGCGGTGTCTCGTCGCGACTTGCCGCGCGCTTCCACCCTGCCCTTCAGCGTGCTGCTCGAGCAGCCCGCGAGCAGACGGATCGAGCAGCCCTGGCGACCGCGTCCACATAGTCGCTGCATCCACCAGCTGACGGCGTCTGTCTTCCCTGATCGCTTCCAGCAGACCATCGCGAGGAGGCTCCGTAACTTGCGTAGTCAGGTAGTCGCGCCGCGTGACCGAGAGGCTCGATTGACGCGCAGTAAATATTCACTCGCTCGTCTCGCGCCAGCAGGGCTATTGATCATATGGAGAAGAGTGGCAGGCGGATGGTGCGCTCGAGTCGTGTGCGCTTGCGTCCTGATCGTGGGCGTTGCGCCCCGCGCATAGGAGAACCATCTGAGATTCAACAGTATCTAGCGTGTGAACGGCTCCTGCACTGCGCGTGTTTGCCGAGGGCGTTCGCGCATGAGTCGGTTCTTGCTCGTCTTGGTCTTGGCCCTCGTGATGTCTACCCTGCGCGCGATCTGGATGGAAAGTCTCTCTGGGCTGCTCTGCGTCGCTCGCGTCCTTCATACCACCTCGTCCGCGAGCTGGAGCGCGGCCCTGGTGGCGATAGCGGCGATCGCACCATGCGCCTGCAGGCCTGCCGCGCAGCAGCAGATGCATTGGCAATGAGCGGCACCAAACCGCGCGACGCTGGGCCTGCCCTTCGGCCTGCTGCACCGCCTGCCCTGGTACCGGGACGCGTTCGGCATGCCCGCTCCGAGGAACTCCGCCGACGGACGTCTTGGACCGGCCCGCGCTACGACCTGCGTGTAAAGGGGCCGGGGCCCAGGCCCCCCTCCGCAGGAGCTCCCGCGAGCCCCCGAACACGCGCGAGGGCCACCAGAGGCAGTTCGCGGATCGGGTGCTGTCGGAGCTCCTGGCCAAAGGGCTGTCGCTGTTCGGGGTCCCCGCGGGCGATGGCTAGAGCGACGGGCAGGGGGGCCCGCGTGCCAACCCCTCCATGACTCGCCATCTTCGCCGTCACTTGACCAGGCCGTTTTCAGCTGGCGACGCTGACGTCACCCTGCCGTTTTCTACTGCAGGACTGGCAACTACAACCGCTTCATCAGCTGTTGCCCTTCGTGGACTGGATGCTTCAACGCCTGCAGCCTTCATATCTGCCATCGACGATGGCCGCGACTACAGCGTGTGCGCCTCCACTGACTCCGAAGCTGCCGACTTCTCCTTCGAGGTCGAAGCTGGCCCTGTCCGCCGCCATCGAGTGAGGACGCCGCCTGCGCCGCCCACCGCGGTTCGGGCGACAAGACTGCGCCCCCCTGCTGCCACTGCTGCTGCTGCTGCTCCTCCTCCTCCTCTTCCTTCTCCGCCTCCTCCTCTTCCTTCTCCGCCTCCTCCTCCTCCTCCTCTCCTCCTCCTCCTCTCTAGACTCATCCCATCTGCGTGCCGCTCTTTTCTTCTCCCCTGGCGCTGTCCAGTGCAGGGGCAGCCTTTCCCGCGTATGGCCTTCTTCGCGCGCGGGCGCAGGATCTCACACGTTGTCTTGAGGTGTGGGGCTCATCGATCGGACCGTCTTCGGGACCGTCTCCGTTCGGATCGTCTTCGGCCGTTGGCCTCTCGTCGCCCCGAGGGGCGCGGTCGCCTCGGCGCCTGCCGCGCCCCTGCCCCCGCGCGGGTGCGCGTCGGTCGTGGAACGCAAGTGTCCCTGGAATCCCAGATCCCGAGCTACTTCGAGCGCCTGCCTTGCTTGACGAGCCGATGCGCTGTTGTTGTGTGTTGTGAATCTCTGGGAGGGCCTGGGCCCGATCTGCTTGATCCGCCTTCCTGTTTCATTTTTGTATGATTGCTTCTTCCGACCGGCGTGTGCTACTCTCTCTCACCAGCCTGATATTGCCCATTACGGGGGGTACCTGTCGCTTTTTCGTTTCCCCTTCCGGATACGTTTGTTCCTTGGGGTCGACCGTCCCTTCTGGTCCTCCGTATCCCCCTCTTTCATCCTCTCGCTTGGCCCTTGGCCTCCTGCGTCGCAAGGATCATGCAAGCATCGAGGTTCCGTTCGACACTTGGATTGGCGAGTCGGATAAGATTGGGCACGCAACGGAGAGGCATGGGGGGAGGGGGCGAGGGACAGGATGTCAGATGTGGCGCGCGCGCCTGGCTTCCCTATCTCCTCTCACGTTTCTCCTCCCCTGCCCTCGCCTTTGTCGTCGTCCTCGTCGCCATCGCCCTCCTGCTCCCCACCTTCCCCAGAGATCCGGCGTCTTGTTTTTTCAGTATGGTGCCCCCAGAAGTTTCGACCCACTCCCGGGGACCAGACTTTCATCCTGAGTAGTCTTTGGATGGCCCTGGGGCCTTGCGAGGGCTTTTAGAGATCGAAAACAGCGAACAACTTCCTTTTGTTTTCCAATACGTTGGACCTCTGGGTCGCGAACTTTTTTGCAGTACGACTCAAGGTTACGATATGTCAGAGGTTCGGCGCCTCACGCTTCAGGGCCTGAGGCCGTGGCTACGCCTTCCCAAGCGCCTGAACCAAAAAGCCACGGTGATAGAACATCCAATGGCATTTCTAGAATGTGTCCCCCTTTGCTGCCTGCCTGCGCGCGAAGCCTGCGACGATGCGACATTGGCTTCTTGCTTGTCAACAAGTTGTACCTCTGGGTCCTCCTCCTCGTCTCCCGTCGCCGCTGCCGCTGGCGCTGCTGGCCGCTGTGGTTACGCGAACTTCTTCGGTGCAGGGCGACTCACGGCTCGGTCAGAAGACGTGAGGCCGTGGCTACGCCCTCCCAGTCGCGGAAACCAGCAAACGATGATGCCGCGAAATGCTGGATATTCGTACCGTCGGACCGAGGTATGAGATCGGCTCGGGGAGGGCACCCTGATGCTCTTCGTGCTTGTTGGATGTTCGCGTGCACCCCTGGGGAGGGTGCCCTTGGATGTTTTGTGCGTTTTGGCTGGCGGAGGGTCTCGTGCTCTCGAGGGATCTTTCCTGGCCTGCAGCCGGCTGCACGCCTTCCCGAGCGCCTGAATCAAAATGCTACGATGCCACGAAGTTCGGGATATTCGTATCCAGTATCTTCCCCGTTCCCTGCGGCCAGCACGTGCGAACGCCCACAACGCTGCAGGCCCCGTCGCCGCTGCCTTGGCGCCACCGACCGCCTCTTGACCGCCGCTGGCGCTCCCCTTCGCTCAGCTCGGCTTCGCTCGGCTCCGCTCGGCTCCGCTCGTCGTCGTCTTCGTCGACATCCTCCTCCTCCTCCTCCTCCACCTCCTCCTGGTTCCTGGTGGCTGGAAAGAACGTCGATCCTTCCTCCTTCCTCCTCCTCCTCCTCCTCCTCCACGAGCGTCTTTCCTAGCCTCCTCTTCTTCTTCTTCCTCCTCTTCCTCCTCCCCCTCCTCCTCCAAGGACGACGACGACGACGACGACGACGACGACGTCGACGACGACGACGTCGACGACGACGACGTCGACGACGACCGCCAAACGTCAGGCCGCCGCCCCCCTGGGCGACGGCGGCGGCGGGCGTTCCGCCGCTGCTGCGGCGCCCCGCCTCGTCCCCGTGCATGCTCGGGCTCGGAGGCTCCGCCGTCCGCCGCCGGCCGCCGCCGTGGGCGGCGCCGCCGCCGTCGTCGACGACGTCGTCGTCGGCTTCGTCGCCAGCGTCGTCGTCGTCCACCGGCGTCGTTGGCGCCGTCGTCGACGACACCGTCGTCGGTTTCGCCGTCTTCGTCGTCGTCGTCGTCGTTTCGTCGTCGTCGTCGTCGTCGTCGTCGTCGTCGTCGTCGTCGTCGCTGGCGTCGTCGGCGTCGTCGGCGTCGTCGGCGGCGTCGCCTTGCCGCCGTCGTCGTTGCAGCGCCAGAGTCGTCGTCGTCGTCGTGGGCCCTTGAGCTTCTGACCTCCTCCGCGGGGCCAGTTTCTCGTCGCCCAGCAGCGCGTTCCAACTAGGATTTGGAGGCGTCTCCAGCCGTGGAGGCAGGTGTCCCCCAGGATGCCGAGACTGCTCAAGCGGGGATCCTCCCCAGTCGCTAGAGACCTGCGGCGGCTAGATTTTTCCCGAGGTAGTGCCTCATCCATGGGGCCAGTTTTCCTTGCTGGGGATTTGTTTCATGGCCTCGGGGCGTGAAAGAGGCCTCCAGACGCTGACAGTTGCGACTGATCTTTGGGGCGATTCTTCCGATTCGCCAGAGGCTTGGGCTCGGGCGTCACAACCGCTCCCCCGACACGTCGTGGGGGTCGCTCTGGCCAGAACGTCAAGGGGAATCCAGCTGTGGCGATGAGGAGACCCAACGAGGCCCAGAAAGGGCAGCAGACATCCAAAGAGCCAAATTTCCGATCCTTGAACATCGAAGTCTCGTGGATTTCGGTCTGGGTTTCGGCCCTCGAGGTCGCCCCCCGCCTTGTCCAGTGGATCAGATCTTCGAGGCAGCCCTGGCCACCGGGGCGCCCCAGGAGGCCCAACCAGTTTCGACCCAAAGCCGTAGAACCTCGGTCTTCCCTGACATCGTCGCGTCG